GTTGTATGTTTTGCGATTCCTCGATTGTATCATTAATTTTTGCTGTAAGGAATAATAGCATATATCCAAGTCGTAACTTTTCCTATAGTAAAAACTAGTAGAGAAGAAGCTTGTTTTAAAATCACTTACTCCCATTAGAAAATAAAATGACTTAGAAGAATATATTTAAAAATAAAAACAAAGGTCCGTGAATTTTTGGAAGACAAAAGTTTTTAGACTAATATAGAAAATGACATGCATGAAATAATTTCAATCATATATTTATCGCTTATTGACATTTTGAATTAACTATGTTAAATTTATTAATATGACATTGAAATAATTAATGTTTTATAGAAATATTATATTGCATGCCGATAAGGCAGAATATGGCTGTACTGTATTTAAATGTATCTATGTAACAACTTTGCAACCTGTATTCGCAATAAAGATGATTTGATTTAGGACAATTTTCAATTAAGCTATTTTTAATTTGATATAAAAATACAGTAAACATGCTGATATTTCTTTTAGTGAACAGTAGATATGAGTACCTACCTATACTTAGTCATAATCATAAACATCAGCGCGGATGAAAAAAATATAACGATACACTAGTTCTCGGAAAACTAAAAGTAAACACTAAAAATAAACTGCTCAAATGCTTCTTGTATTTTTATATTCTAAGCTTCAATCGAATTTGCTATGGGTGGTTCTCTTTGATGGTATAGAGTATAAATATCATATCCATAATAGTAATAAGCGATCTCTTAGTAGAAAATAGCCTGAAAGAAATATACAATAAGTCTATCATATTCTTGGAAGGCGACAGTATTGATTTACAGCAAAGAGGTCACATTACAAAGTAGGTATTTTTAATATTGTTTAAAGCGAAGACTAAAAAATGAACTTTTTATTTCTCATTCTCGGAAAGTGGTGTTGTTTTGATCTGTATGTTGGGTGGAAAATGCTGCTTCCCTCCCTAGAGATGGAAAAACTCATACAAATTACTTCCCGCCTAAGGGCCGGAATGAACTTTAAAAATAGAACTACTGCCAGGTGTGAAGAGTTTTATGTAAAAAAATATAAAAATGGTTGCCTGTAAAGTCGGTTTTACGGGCGAAGATTTTACGTGACAACGTCTTTTTCTCGGTAGAATATTTATTGATATGAATATAATTAAATTGCACAATAGGAACAAGGAATTGAATGAAAATAAGAATTGCACAAATTTTAACTATAGAAATATATTTTGTTTACTAAAACATTGTACATGTAAACTTAAACTTAACACGAGAGACTCATCGTAACGTTACCGAGCGTTACACTTTTTCATAAGTGACTCCCAGCCGCAACCTAATTTAAGACGTTGTCACGTCAAAAAAATATGATGCCATGTGAGTTTCTAAACAGCCAGTGTGAACTTAGCACAAACTTCTTTGAGCGGAATAAGCCGCAACAATTACGCTGTTCCATATTTAAATTTAAAAAGTCGACGTAAATTGGCGGGATACTAAACTGTTATTTAACAGTGACGGAATAAAAAAAATCTTATAAGTAAAACAGAGCAATCTAAATTTGAATATTAAAAATGAGTTTAAGCGATTCAGAAATGTTGACACCGGATTCAATTAAAGACGAGGCAAAATGTGTTATAGAGAATCTTTTGCCAGAAATGTCAAAAGAGGATATATGAATACATACAATGATTTTATAAAGTGGCGAGCAGAGAAGAATATAAAATCGTTTTCCGAAAGTGTATTTCTTACATATTTTAATGGACTGTCTTCTTCACTTCTTCTTCAAACTTCCAGGGAGTATCCGCTATGGAATCCATCGTTTGATGAAATAACATAGTCTCCTACTTTTACAGATATCCAAAACAGCCAAATTTGTAATAGTATATCAAACAGCATAAACATTCCAAACAAGAATGTAATTTTAATTTCACTAATTGTCCTAATATGACAATTAATTCTAAATAGCTACTTCTAATTTTATTGTACCTATATATATATATACCTATTTATGAACAAATATTTTTGATAAACAATTGTTTTATTTTCCTCATATTCGAAATGAAAAGTACAGTGTTTAACTCGGGTAAAAGAATCAATTCCTACTCGGACTATAGACGCCCTCGCTGCGCTCGGGCGTCTAAATACCTCGGGAATTGATTCTTTCCACCCTCGGTTAACAATCTACTATATCCTTCTTTTCTTTGCAAATTTTACGTTATTACTAATTGTATTCTTGTCTTAGAGTATATGCTCTAAGATTCTTGTTAATCATAATAATAAGTCCCAATAACGAAGTCTATTTATTTATTTTCTTCGAAAATTATTCACGAGCATTTATAGTTTAGAAAAAATAAAAATATAGTATTTATTTGTTTCTTAGGTTTTCACGCACATCACTCATTAAATAAAACTAGTTTTCACGGGTTAATGCACGTCTTTAAACGTCAATAAATAAATAAAGTTTCGTGCATTAACCCGTGAAAAACTAGTTTTATTTAATATAGTATTTGTAAGTAGTTTTTGTTGATCGTATTTTCGATTGTACGGAATCTTGTGGCACATGCAACATATTATCGTACATCGATAACTCGCAGCGTACCTATGTCCAGTAAATCCACTGTTTCATACGAGAGCATTATCACCGCATCGATCACAGGCCTGCCACCACCTGCCACTATCAAAGTTCCGAGTCCTGCTTATTTGATTTTTTTTTATAATAACACATTTAGCATTCTGATATCGAAACACGCGCTCGCATTATAAACAAGAGTCCTTAAAAAAAGTGTGGTTGTAGTGAACTATGCGTTTTGTTTACTCAGTGTTTGTTCAGTGATTTATTAGCGAAGAATGTCTTCAAGGGGTGTCCAAGATGGTTCGCGGTCACCGATGATTATGACAGATTCCTTTTTCGACGATGGTGACGGTGAGTATTTTAATAAAATATCTACAAATGTACTAACTAGTACCTAATCTAGTCCTGATAAGAAAAAATAAACTGCCTCGATTAGTATTGTTGTTTATTTTCACAAAATAATAAAAAGTTAAGTACATTCGTTATTAAGCCTCGATAAGCCTATTTACATTAGGCAACTAATACAATATTTTTTGATACTCTTTTCTTTAAATGACACTGCGTCAAATGGTTTAATTTATTTGTTCGTTTCTTCGTTTTCCTATATAAAAAGCTTCCATATTGAAATGAAGATTCGACAACTAAAATTTTTTTTAAGTATTAATTATTTTTTATCTGTTTATATAGAAAAAAAAATCTCGAAAACACATAAAAAGTGAATATTAAAAAAATAGAGTCCCGAGTCCCGTCCGCTGCCTGGTCCGCGTGGATTTTGTTCTAGTAAACTTTTCTTTAGATTTAAACATCTAGCAGTTAAATGCTTAAAAAATAAATAAAATCATAATTAAAAAAATATTCCTTCGAGCCGGATTTGAACCAGCGACCTATGGATATCAACAGATTCACTTCTACAGTCCACCGCTCTACCAACTGAGCTATCGAAGGTGTGAGTGGGTTGCCGAAAATACAAGACACTTTCTGTGTAAACAAAACGAAAGTAGAATTAGGGTGACAACAAAGGTGTATTAACATAGACTAACATATAATTATATTAAATTAACACATAATGTCATAAACATTGAAAGTATCATTAGGGGACCACTTATATTTGTATGTATCAAATATGTTTTAATTCATATTCTACATTCAATAATAATGTCATTGCTATGGCATAATGTAAAACAATAACTCAGGGTTCTGTGTATTTATGTTATTCTTATATTATTGTTCCATGCTTATATTTATTCTGTGAACACTGATCTATCTGTTGTATTATGATCAATATTTATAAATAACCTACTCTGTCAAAGAGGGGATCGATATTGAAACGTATTTATAAAACACAATTAAAAACTTTCCTATTAATTTGGAATATAGGTACTTAATGTAAAAGTCTTCATAATACCTTAAACACTTATAAAACAGTTTGGGTTATGTACGTGTTCAACTAATGTTTTTAACATTGAAATCAGATAACATGGAAGGCAATGGAAGGACAACTCGTTGAAGATAACAATAAGACCTCAATAAAATTTCCACCAGTAGGATGAAGCAGTAAACATTTGAATAATTTAAAGATTTAATTGCACTGTTTTATCTGGATTATTTACATCACATAATACTGTCGCATTTAGTGATGGTTTATATATGAATCCAAGAAAGAATCTGACTGTATAGGTACCTACCGTTTAGTAAATATTGATTTTTGTCGGGGAGACTATCATTTTAAGCATTTATATAGGGATCATGCAGATTTTCAATGCTGGTTTATAAGTCATCTTAATAGGGTAACCTTCAATCAGACCATAATCATTAAACAAAATTTTGACAAACAATGAATCGTAAAATTACTTTTCACTAATGTTATTCATTTTCATAAAAAAATCAGACAATAAAAAAAATTGAGTATACTTTTGGTAACATGGAATTTTTGGTTAATATTTTTAAGTAATATTTAGTAACAGTAGTAACATTTTCGTTAATTTGCAATTATATACTTATATATTAATTTGCTTAATAAAATGCATCTTTGTAATACAATATTTTAGGCAAACTTAATACTTCGATATACCACCTTATATGTACGAGTATATAGAAAATAATAATAAACGTGTTATATAAGTAGTTTTTAATATTATTATATATGCGAATTTATCAAATATAACGTAGCCAAAAGGTGCGTCTGAATTTTCTAAACAATATGGTATTATAGGACCCAACATAATGATATTGTTAACGCGTTTCTGTGTGTGTGTGACATTGGTGTATTTTTAGCTTCGTTATCAATTTGTGTAATTGTGCGGTGGGCGAATATAATGCAATACGGTCCTGCTCCTGCTCATTGCTTCACCTCTTTGTTTACATCTTGTGGGTCGAGAGTGCAACGTGGGGCGAGTGGGGACGGAGCACCCGCCGGCAGCCAGAGGCCAGCCAGTTCGCGAACGACGACACAGTCGTCACGTCGCGTCTGCGCTCATTGCGTACAAAGTACAACGAATCGTGTCGTGGTGGCATACCATATTGAACATTCAATCGAAACTTACGTATTATTAATTGATCGTTGTAATGATCGTGTGGTATTTAATATTCTACTTCACTAATCCTTCTATTGGGAATATCTTTGTAGATTTCGCGTATGAGTTTCCTGTATTGTGTTATGTTTTACTCAGTTACTAACCGGAATGACCCGTTATTAAATCTGCATCGTATAGATTTTTATATTCCAAAACAGACGTGCGGGACTGCGGGCTCTATTCATTATATGTATTCACAGCAGCTGTGGCCTCTGCTATACGATACGTCAAGTTCTTTCTTGCAACTATTTGATGTTTTCAGTATCTTTATTTTGAAATATACTTAATATATTACTTGTAGTGTAAATATTTTAAGTAATACATAGCTACAAATATCTCTTAAAAAACGTTTACTTTTTAGTAATATACCTTTAGAAAAATTTGCAAGTTTTTGAACAAATTGAATTAAATTAAATCAATTGCAATTTGTAACATATGTGTGTGTTGAGACATATTAGAAAAATCGTTAAATGGTATCACGGTCAGAAGTGATGACCACTTTCACTAAAACGCAACGGGCTTCTCTTATCGCCCCTCTAGATTACAGTTGAATATTAATGAAGCTTGCCACTTAAACATTTAGTCATTGCCTGCGTCATTTTATTACCTACGAGTTTTTGTTTTTACTGACTTTTATGAAAATAATATGGTCCTGGAATTGCTTCCCCAGTAATATTTTAGAATTCGCGATTTTTACAAAATGTTATTCGACATGATGTTTCATCATCATTACTATCATCAAATAATTTAATTGAAGTCAAAGGTCCCCACAGATAACCAATACAATAGCGAAGTGCTTACAAGAAAATAAATTGGCTGTTAATAATTTATTGACGTCACTTAGTAGTGGATACCAATAACAAACATAAGAGGAATGATAAAAAAATTAATAGCATAGGAAGGAGCTATATACTTCCTATGCTATTAATTTTTTTATCATATCGTTTGTGCATCTTTCTGTGTTTCTTCTTGAATCAAGATTCAAAGACGATTTTTTGTTTTTTACGTCTATTACATTGACTTTTATTAATGTATAAGGATGACTGGAGCAAAGCGCTTTAAACTGAAATCAAATTATCTACGTATCTAGCCCATAGTAAGAGCCAATATAATGCATAGCAAAAACATGTCGATTGTGCAATTGATGAACATGTACTTTTTTTAAGTATTACTAAGTTAAACAGTAAATTTGTTGCGTAAATATTTTAAACAAAACATTAATACTATTAAATTTATCTAAGAAATGTCTAATTATATATATAGTTTATTTTTTATAATTTTTCAATATTTTTTTAAAGATTACATAATATTGTTTAAGTACTTTTAATATTTAAAACTAGTTGTTAATAAGTAAGACTTATTTATTAAAAATTGATAATGTTGAAGACATATCCCACTAAACACAGATTTTACGGTAACAGTACAGTTTCAGCTATTTCGAAATAGCATAGAGGATCCATGATTTCATAAAAAATATTAGAAACAAATTTTAATAATTGTCTATTAAACAAAAAATATTACTATTTTCTGGCAATTAAAAATTTAATATAAACGTTAAACACAACATACCACACGATCATAAAAGAGCATCTTAAGCATAAAGTGTAAAATATTGTTCCAAATAGAAAATTGTATAAATGAATATCTATTTACATTAAAACTCCCGTGGGATAAACAAATATTACAAATTTAGAACTAGGTCAAAAAATGTATGTATACAAATGATGTTAAATTGAGTTTGAATGACAGTGAGTGGTGATTTGATCAGCCAAACAGTGATACGAGTATGTATAGTTTCGACCGTGATTTGTGGCACGTGCATCAGCCGTCGGTGGAAGCTCTCGAGGACATAGATGATCAAGACAAACGTAAATACCGATACTTTGACTTTTTTTTTAATAAATAAATATTTCCGATACTCACACCAATTAGCCTAGCCCCAAAGTAAGCACTATAAGGCTTGTCTTATGGGATGCTAGGGTAACGGATAGAATACATATACTGTACATACATAAGTATATTTATATAAATACATATTAAACATCCATGACTGGAGTACAAAAGCTCGTATTCATCATACAAACGTCTGCCGCCACCGGGATTCGAACTCGGGACCTCTCGAGTCGGCGACACCATGAAACCCGGCGTACAAACCACTCGACCACGGAGGTCGTCAATATAAAAAAAATGTGTAGTTTTATGAAATCACGATGAAAGTGGTACTTTTAAAATCATTAAAAAAAAGTCCTTTCTCATCTGGGAATCGAACTCGGGCCACCGAGCTTTCTACCACTGAATCACCGATGTTTGTTAATTTAGTCTTAATTTCTTAATAACAATTAAAAATTGATTGCGACATGCTAAATATGAAAATTGTGGCAATATAATAAAAGTTTTACTTTAAAAAAATTGGTTTGGTAGAAATGAACTCAACTTGTCAGAACAAATATATACCGGGATACATAATATTTATGTGGTTTCTATTTAAAACAAGACAGCTACAGAGCGTCGAACGTCGAAGTCCCAATGTAACCTGTGAAATTCCAACTTCACATGTCTAACGTCGAATAACGAAATTTGGATTGGATTTGATTCAGGTCACAATTCTATGCGATGACTCATGAATTCGATCGTATATAGCCCCGCATGAGAGGCGATACTGTCTACTGTGTAACCTCTGACTGTAACAGTAGCGCAATGGATTTGTAAGGTGCGCCACCACATCGGAAATTTCCACTATGTGTTTTGCGACAATTGTATGAACGAAGAAAAAAAAACGCGAGTCATTTCAAGCTAGCGATAAGTTGCTGAAGGAAAATGAAAATAAATACCCACAGTATGGGTATGGTCCTTGTGACTGTCTATGACAAAAGCATGATCAATGACATTAATAACTAATTGTGGAAGATGGAAGAATTTAGGGTTAAAAGTTTCAATCCTTTTATGTACTAGTATATTGTAAAACGATAAGGCTTGTAGACCTTTTAACAGCTGCCAGTCTCTGTAACCGAATTGGCAAATATAAAAAATAAAAATGATAAAAGACCGAGTTGTCTAAATTGGATTTCGTTAGTGTGCACATAGACGAAGGGGTGCATTTACGTTAGCATCCAGTAAATCGTATTAATGTGTCTGCGTGTCACACGTGAACTCCGCAATGCGTAAAGTTTTCTATTGACCACTCCACTGCAGGTTGTCGGCGATCGGTAAAGAGCTCTACGGATATCATAATAGTCAAGACATAAAATGATTTTCCAATTGTCTTTTGATAATCATAAATTTACTTAGAGTTGTTTCTGTAATGTTTTGGTCATTGTTTCTACATAAACAAAATGGTAAGTCAATTACTGTACCTAATACTTATTTTAATTTCTATATATAGAGAAAATGCGTATGTTGAGATTTCAACCGCAGGTTCGAATCCCGTCTGAAACGGTATTTACACTACCCAAGGACTTTAAGGGCCCTATCGAAAGGATGCGCGTGGCCCCTAGCTAGGGTAGCAATTATAAACACCGCGTCGATTGCCCTAGATCGGGTCCCTTACGTCCTAACTTACATTACCCTTAGTCAGGGATTTTTGTAGTGAAATTTTGATTATTGAATTAAGATTTATAAATTATTTTTAATAATTAATCTAGTTTATAATTAAATATAATGAAGGTAACTTTTACTTCAGGTAAAACTACATGAGATAGAAATACTTTAATCTATTTCGAAATATTATATTAGTAGTATCATGTGTGATTCAAAACAGTTTTGAGGAGAACCTATTTATTATTTTATCTAAATTACACGTCGATGTTTATAACAAAGTAATATGAACAGCTATTCGATGTGCATCGAATAGCTGTTCTATTATATAGTTAAGATTCTTATTGGTTTTTTGGTTTACTGTTAATGATATTTATTTATTTATTTATCTTTAACAAAGTTTCTACTGCGTTTTTTTGTGAAATTTTATACAATAAAATATAGATACCATCTTAAGGCCAATTACAGAAACTCATTATTATAGTTATTATAATTATTACATTAAATTAAATTAAATTAAATAATATGTGGCTTAAAGCGAAGTTTGAATGTATTTACAGATAAAATTCACTTGTTAGTAGAATGAAGGCGAAGCAGAACACAGTTTAAGTGGCAAAGTGATTCTTATCCCTCGATGCCCATCGTTGCTAAGCAACATCGCATCGAGACTATGCCTCATGTAACGTTATCTTCGATACTTGACCGGATTTCACTCAACTCGATACGCCTCAGTTGTGAAACCCCCTACTTTTAACATTGATTTTTTTCTAAATATCCAAAAAAGATGAGAATTTTTGATAGGTTTAGTATTAGATTGGCATATCAGGTTAGAGTTTTTTTAAAGGTACCTTAATATATATAAATGGTGTTATTATGAAAAAAAAAAATACTAGACTTCGAAGACCTATTACTATAGTGAAAATCAGTATTGCATTCTTTGTCTTCCCAATTAGTACAATAGCCAATAATACACCTAGGTGTAACCAATTTGAGGTGTAACACCCAGGTTTCTTATTGGTTATTCTAGTGTTCATCATTGTCATTGTTAGCTTATAGTTTTAGCGGAACGTTTGCACAGTACATTTTCGAGGCGTGACAAAAATTTCCGCTGGCTAGTCGGATTACCTGATGTACAGACAGCACATGATATTGTGTTGAACTTCTCAAATAAATTTGGACCTTAAGATAGCATGTCAAGATTATGTGAGGATGTTGTATGTGTATATATAATTAAAATTTATCATGAAAAATGCTTTGATGTACACTATCGTTATTATATCGTTAAGTTTTATAGTCCATACGTGAAAGATGGGACGTCTATAAAGTCCGCTGGATTGAACCTGAACATTTGAAGTTCACTCTTACTTGTTATATCGCCTTATTGTAAAACGTTGATTAAAGGTTGGCTTGGTTTGAAATTAGTCTTTCTCTTCTCCTAACAAACAAAGGTCAACGGTTTGAAATAAGGCGGGCATATTACATAGCCATAGCATAGAACAGCGACAAGAGATGACTTAATTCGGTTAGATAACCAATTTATTGCATTGTTCTTTACATCTAATAATGTTTGATCATGTTTCTTCTGAATCTAAATATCAAATTGATATTAAACATCGTTTTTTTTCTTTTTGAATTCTTTCTGTCAAAGGCATTGTAATCAGATCTTTTAAATATTAGTATTATTTGTATTTGAAACAGCCACAATTAATTTTGATATCTAAGAAAAATAATTTAAATAAATAGATTGTAATTAAATCCGATAAAGCATTCAGCTTTTCCTGACCTACTATAAAATATATAAAAAAATACTTATTTTGCTGAACTTATATCGATGTCAGAAAATAAAATCGAAACTGTATTTTGTCAGATATGTCCTAACTTTTTTCTTGAACATTGTCAACCTAACAATAAATTTGCTCTACACAGCGGAACCAACCCATTTGTCATTACATTATCGATTGTTAGATTACTAAGTATTGTGACTAGACCTGCCTGCGTAATAGTTACAATCAAAATATTTGTCACAATCACGATAACACAAATTTAGTGCTGGCTTTGACCTTGGTGTGCGTACAGTCAGAGCGACAGGTCATTGTGGCGAATAGCGGTCAAGGTTTTATTGTAGTTATTAAGTACTACATCAATACATCACTTTTTTAAATGTATCTTGACTTCCTGAGCCATCAGGAGTAGCATGATCAGGGCGTCTGAAGACTCCTCCCCGCTCATTTCATTCAGCCCAGAGGTTCGATGAAATATGCAGGACCCTACTCAGTAACAACCATATAATACTCTTGCACCTGTACCCCAAGCACGAACCATTATCGAATTCATATCGTTTGCGAATCCGAAATGTCATTGTCAAATGTGTACTGACTTTTAGTTCTAATTACGTACTTTGTGCCGCTGCTGTTCAAGTTTCCATACAAAATTTTACATTGACATTTCGGTTTGCAAACTATTCGAATTCGATAATGGTTCGTGCTAGGGGAACTGATCAATACATCACCTGGAATCCATATGCAAAATTGCCTTTTTCCGAATTGGAACGTCTGTCAAGAGAAGATTTCTGTATACTTTATAAAAAATATTCTACGGCCAAAATAAAAAAATGTAGTATTCTGGGGCCGATCCTTTCCTCTTTTTCGCTTTTCGTGATTGCTTTCATTTCATAATAATTTGGAAAAGAAATAAATTAACATCATCATCGGGTGGGATATAAAATGGATGCCATTTTTGAAACTTTGGAGTAAGATCGGCTTATCAGCAGTTTCGACGTAGCTGAAGAACTGTCACGGGCTCACTGAAAGAAACCTAATGAACAGTGTACTTGTTTAGGCATAGTATTTCTTGTTATGTGGGTAAACTGCAAATCCACGACTCAACAGTAACGGGCGCTGCTGTCACTGCCGCATTACCTCTCACTAGGGCTGCCATCCGTCCGGGTTTCCCCGGATTTGTCCTAGTTTACGGGGCGTCCGGGGAGCGTCCGGGCGGGGTTTCATTTGTAGTCCGGGTTTAAAAAAATCCTGTTTTGGGTCGCCAATTAATCCGTCAATTTATATGTCTTTGAAAATAAATAAATCTATTCTAACACTGTAACCATAAATGCTGACTTCCAACAAAGGTCTGCTTTGTCGCCTACACTGTCCGCAATAACAGCATTCGTTGCTATGTGGATGACAGCACTGAAACTTTTTACACTGGCAGGTCAAACATCCCTCGGATGGAAGAAGAAGGGTGTAAAGACAGACTTTTGTCCGAGATTGAGATGTTACTGGATCAAGTCTCAAATTGGAGCCAACAAAATTTTATTGGATTCACACAGTTTTAACTGTTTTTTTATTGGTCTGTCCGGGTTCTGGGCTCCAAAATCCGGGGTTATCACGCGTCTTATCCTGGTTGCCACTCATATCAAATATTTGTATTGGTGGAACAGCTGTGTTTGAAACTGGTGCACAATAAGGACTCTGAGTGGGTGACCACGTGGACACGTAACGCTTCCAGCACGAGCTCATACTGGCGATGTCAAGGTGAGTGGTTTACTTCGTAGTGGGGAAACCTGTGCCTGAATTTTACCAATAGAAGCGACCAAACCAACTTGTTCTCTAGGGCTATCGAAGGTGTTCTCGCGAACAGTACGCTTTTGTGATTCTTTGTTACGACGCAATGAAACCAAACTAATTTTGATGAAGCTGGTAACGGGGGATGAAGTGGATCACGTACGACAAGAACGTGCGAAAAAGGTCGTGGTCAAAGGCCGGTCAGCTCAGGCTTCACAGACTCTGGCGAAACCCGGGTTAACTCGCAACAAGGTGATGCTGTGTGTATGGTGGAAAAGCATTATTCACTATGAACATCGATTCTGAACTCTACTGCGAACCTCTGATGAGATTATAGCAAAAAGTTGAGAGAAAGTGACCTGAATTAATCATAGAAAGGGTGTGGTTTTTCATCATGATAACGCTGGAGTTCACACATCTTTAGCCACTCAGAAAAAATTGAGAGAGTTTGCCTGGGAGATGTTAATGCCTCTGCCGTACAGTCTTGACCTTGCACCTTCAGATTTCCACCTGTTTCGGTCTCTTCAGAATTCTTTAGGCAGTGTCGGGTTAACAGTTTATTATTATTGGCGACGCTATGTATGAGATCATTATTTGCTATTGCTAGTGCGACGCACTTAGGTTTACCGTCTATTTCAGGGAGGACGCTTGTCTAAGATAGAAAAAACGCCTGTTTTTTTTAGAAAAAAGCCTGTCTATAATAAAAAAATAAGTATAGCCAACTAAAAAATAATAATATTATGCTTGATGTTTTAAGCTGGAGGTGTTGGGGGGTTTGATTTGATGCTTTGTGCAAATGTCCCGGAATTGATAAGCCAGCATCTGGCAAGCAACTAGAGTTGAGCGGTAACGCTTTAAAAAAAAGGAAACGTCTCAAAAAAACGCTTTCTTAGATCGATATGGATATGACATAAAAACGAACTTACCTTCATACTTATACTCTGTCAACTGGTTAGTTAAAAATGTCATTAACCGTATTTGTATAAAATTAGTTCGTTTAATTGCTTGACAGATGAAACGAACACGTTTCACAAAGCATTACGTTGCGTGAACGAGATAGATGTATGAAGTACGCTTGCCAGAGCCATTTTGTTTCGTTGCGGACGAAGGTACGTTTCGTTTTCTCGGCGAATACAGTTTTTTTTAAACTGTTTATTGTGTTTCATGGCGAAAAAGTGTTTCACAAAACCGTTTTCGAAAAAAACGCCTACTCGCCACGCACGCACGATGCGTGGCATGCGTGAGAGACACCTGAAATTCAAAAAATCTCAGCTTAGCGCCGGTCCCACGCCTGTCTATACCGAAAAATGCCTGTCAAATGCGGCGAAAGCCTGTCAAATGGTAGCCCTAGTCGCACTTCAATTCAATAGTAAACAACAGCCTATTTGCATAATAAAGAGACAATACCACGATAAGTCTACATGGCTTGGCTCGTATTGCTATTTTTTTTTAAATTTATTTATCAACTATACTATAATACTATTAACTACACTTTATAATTTCCTGACTGATTAACAGTTTATTGGCGAAAAATGCACTCAATTTTAATCATAAATCAATTTAAATATTTCTACAAAAACAATGCCTATATTTTTATCTAATTTAGTTTGGACATTTATTACATAGGTATACTCCTATCCTAACATACCAATGCCACAAGTAATGTTGAAAATGATGTCGATTCTGGCTTGATTCTCTAAAGTTAAACTTAAATTTGACAACAGTGTATCTTTGTTATTCTCTATACAGAATGAAAAGGACAGACTGATGTTAAATTTAGTTTTAAGTTTAGAGAATCCTGCCAGAATCGACACCATAAACTTCTTATAATAAAATAAACGAATTACAATTTGTTTAAAGTAACAAGAGTGATAGAGTACATGCTACATTCAAAATGTACGTTAATAAACAGTTGTGATTTGCTTATAAAAATTTTCTAATAGGATTTGTTTTACTTTACATTTGAAATCTGATACGCTAGTACACTCCTCCATATCCAAGCTATTGAATATTCGTGGAACTAAATATTATTATTATTTATGAATTCTTCATTTATTTTTACATAAGAGAGTGAAAGTATAGGGCATAGCGGATTTCCCGATCGATTTGGAGCACCCGTCTGGGGAAGTAACTTCCACCTTACAATCACAGTAAAATAATGAAAATATCTCCACCTTTAGATGGTGTTGTGTTTCTATTGGCGAGTAAGGTGCCAGGGGTAGGGGATTGGGTCAGTCAGGGTAGGCAAAGGCGCAATTGATATTTTCGGCATCGCAAACTTCTAAATTTATTTTAACTCATGGTAAGCGGCCACCATAGCCATGAGATAAAATAAATTAATAGTTTAAAAAAAAACGAGTGTGCTTCCACGTGCGTGTGTCGAAATTCTTCTAGCCATTTTTAAGCTGCAAGGCAGCGCCATCGCTTTGACGCGGCCATCAGGACCGCGGTAGCATAATTGGTCAGTGCATTCGCCCGGATAGCGAATGGTGCGGGTTCGAGTCCCGTCTGCTGCCTGGTCCGCGTGGATGTTTTTCTAGTTATATTTTCTTTAGATTTAAACATCAAGCAGTTACATGCTTAAAAAATAAAAATTATGACTATAATTGCTATCTCTTCTTTCAAATGTTTAATACTTGTAAAAGTATTCATTTCACATTGTGGGTTACCTACAATGCGACGAAGTGATGGCGTTGCCTACCCGTTTTATTTATATAGCTGGGAACAATGGACTCCAATGAACTATTTCTAAGGTTTCGGGTCGGGTCAATAAGTTGGTCTTATGCATTTATTCGAGTACCTTTTCGTTCGTAAAATTACAGAACTACATTGTAGTGCTTCTCTACTTGGTTGTTTATTGGAGAAATACGCAGTGATTTTTCAAGCGCAAACTCGCTGGCAGTATTGCCAGATCCGATTTTGAAAAATCAGGAGGCGTTTTAGAAGAAAAAAAAACCTTCCAATTGCGATTCGGCCGCGCACATCGAGGGTTCCGTACAAAACTGTAGGTATATTTTAATAATTATTTAAAAAAAATTATATGATGTAACTAAAAATTTACGGTTTCGCAATTTCTAAGTTCACGGGAAGTACCCTGTAGGTTTTGATTCCCGTGCGAGTTTCGAAAATTTGCGGCATAAACGGCTGTATATTTTTATTGCTATGGCTTAGAAGTTTGAATTTTTTACAGCTCCAAGGGACAGTAGACCTGATTATTAGATATGAATTTCAGTTCGATACCTCCTCGCGTTCCTGAGCAAAACGGTCTTGACAGACGGACAGACGGACAACAAAGTGATCCTATAAACAGTAGATGTATGGTAAGAGCTACAAGAAAAAACAGTAGATGCAGAGGCGTACTTTTTCCGATCCCCCCCACCCTACCCCCTGTGGCCCTTAAAGCTTTTTTAGTCAATAACATATACATACAGCAACTCAACATGCAATTTAAAAATAAAAATCGTATTCCAAGAAAAACAGTAGGTTCATGTAGAAAAACGCACTATGTATGTATCCCTCGAAAGAAAATGCTACACCCTCGTTGGTGCACGGTCATAGTTCTAATGTTAAAGGAGTACAGGTGTGTATTTACCTTAGAGCCAAGAGGGCTATAACCTGGGGGTCAATCGTCTAACGGAATTGCTATGGTTATCCCTATAGCTAACGATTTTATTTTGTTATTTCTGACCGCCGAATGTTTTCAAATACCTACCTTACGTTCATTTTCTTTAATATTGACCAATACAAAAGAAAAAAAAGCGCGGGGTATTTGAAAACTTTTGCCGGTCAGAAATAACAAAATGAATACGTAAGCGATAGCGACAGCAATCCCATTAGGCTCCCTGGGGCGCAAGCTCACGAGGGGCGGCTGCAAAAGCTGCTGTCAAATATTCTATTTTCTAATATATAAAATTCTCGTGTCGCGGTGTTTGTGGTTAAACTCCTCCGAAAAGGCTTTCCCGATTCTCATAAAATTTTGTGTGCATATTGGGTAGGTCTGAGAATCGGACAACATCTATTTTTCATCCCCCTAAATGTTAAGGGTAATCCACACCAAAATTTTTTTTTTGCAATTTTAGATTTTTTTTAAATTTTTTTATGATACATCATACAAAAATACATACAACCCTAAATTTTCACTCTTCTACTACCAACCCCTATTTTTTACGGCGGTACGAAGTTCGCTCGGTCAGCTAGTATTTATTTATATAAATCTTATGATTGTTGCAGGCAGCGAGAGCCCGACGACCGCGGTGCGGGCGGAGGCGCCGCGGGAGCTGCCCAACGAGCTGTCCGCGCCCTACGAGGTGCCGCAGTTCCCCATAGAGCAGATAGAGAAGAAACTCCTCATCCAACGACAACTTAACGTCAAGTAATTGTCATGCGTTTATTGATATTTTTATTTAACGACTGCACACAAGCTGCACATACACTCAACTAATCTTCGCGTCGAGTTGAGTCGCCCACAAAAAACACATTTGAAAAACACCACACCAAATCATTTTGTGGTTCTATATTCGTAATAATAACACAGTTTTGTCGGATTAGTGTGACTTCTGAAATCACCTATCCTATTTATTTGTATTGTTATCTGGTGTTTAAATTAATACATAGTGCATCATGCCTAGGGTAACCATCCGTCCAGACTAGACCGAACTTTTAGGCTCTAGCCCGGACTTTTTCCGGCTCTTAAATATTAATTGGCCGATTTTTTTAAATTAGATGGAATATGAAAAATATAAATACATATCGTAAATAACTAAGTGGGTAATGTTTTCATATTGTGACTAAAAAGGTCTGACTTTATTCGAATTGTCTTAATTTTTGTCAGGAATTTTAAAATTCCTTAATGGTAACCCTAATCATGCCAGAATCGACACCTATGTCTCTAATGACTCAGAAACCGACTGTCTCTCTTTACTACGCATAACGCACGTATAAGTCGCGGCACGTAACTCTAGCGCTGTAAAAAACGCGTCAGGGATAGCTACGCATGGGTACGACTGGAGAGCCAATCGGCGCAACGCACGCCCACCCGCGCACCTCTTTTCCCCCCAAGACATCTTAATTTTTACTTCTGCGCAATAACGGTCAGCGCTAGAGTTTCGTATCGCGACTTTTTCTATGCTAGAGGCATTGTAATGAGTTGATGACTGATAAAACATGGATGATGTTAGGAAGAAAAGGAAGGTGCGAGTAAAAACACTCGATTGCGTACCTATCGGTCAGTCCGTCTTGAGTTGGCTAATGAATCGGTCCAGTGACAAAGTGCACAAGTTGTCCGTCCCAGCCGCGTGGGCAATAGAATATTATAACAGCATCAGGTGTTCCTTAGTAGCCTATTAGAGCCCCCTGTGTCGTATGTGGTTTTTGAGTGGTAGTGAGTTTAAGTGTTCCCAAAACCCTGGATATTTCAAACACATTTGCTTGGCTTTGGCCGGCGGGTTCTGCATAAGGAGGAGCGCTCCTCCCGTCGCCGTTGTACTGCCGCTGAAGGGACACTAGTCTGTAAGTCGTTAGATTTTATATTTGGTTAAGGTTAGGCATATTTAACGTGCCTTCCAACGAGCCGTGTATCGCGGAGCTAAGTACGCGGCGTTTTGGTTCGAAGTTAGGGCAACGTGGTTTCTGCACTACAGACGACCGGCTGCGTACTGAACAGATGACACTTTACAAATTTAGTTTTTTGTTCAAGAATCTTGGTTCTTTACACATGCAGGGATTATAGATACTCTAAATTATAAAAACTGTGAATGAAATAAAAGTTGCCCGGAATTAATATATTGCTGGATCGACGCGTCAATCATACTACAGTTGTTCCCATCAAGTCGTGTTGCAGTATTGTAAGAATGAAGTTCCTCTTTATGATAGCTCGGCCGACATCAATAATATTTTACGAGCGATGGCAAATAAAAAGTCTGTACGTCAGTGCTATACTTAATTGGATGGTTGTTTAGGAGCAGTTGATGTCTGGCGACGACCTTCATGACCGTATGTTTAACTGTTTAACACGATGTTACCGTGTGTCTAGCAGTTAACTTCACGATAGGCAAATTTGATTGTGGTAAATTTATTTATTAATGAACTATCAACAATTGAACGAACTCTAACTAGGTGAAGCTTGATAAACACTTACATTATGGTAGGGGCAGTGGCGGACTAAGCCCGTCAGAGGCCCGGGGCGGTAAAGATGAATGAGGCCCCCCAGCACCCCCCAGATTTAATAATGTAGTTTTTGGTGTTTATTTGGTTAAAATCGGGAAAGTAAAATTTAAATTCGAATTTAATTATTTCGGCTATCAACATACATACCTACAATATGGAATCGATATGGGTGAGAAAAATAAAATACGATATCGAAATAAATCAAAGATAGTTTTTCTATTTTTTGTAGCGTGTTATATGTGTTTTCGTGCCTTCAATTTACTGAACTCCTCAATAACTTCTTTGAAATCTATTTCTTTTAATTTTTTTTCTATTGAAAGCACGGCTAGGTAACCCAGTCGCTCTTGACCCATTGTGGATCGAAGATAATTTGTAATTATTGTAAGTTTCGATATACAAATGTACAGAGACTTTACCGTGTTGAGTCTCACGATGAGAACAAGTATTTACCTACGCCCCTAATAAACGTGCACTACAAATAAAATATGGACCACTCGCGAAATGCAAGAACTGAAGCAATGTACTAGTAGCTGCATATTGACTAGAAACTACGGATTATAATTTGTAGGCTATATTGTACAAAGAATTATTTACTTTTTTCAAATACTTGAAAATGCACTAAATCAACTCTGAACTCATTTACTTTAATACCGCAACACAAATCAAAAACACTATAACACTTTTCAATGAAATTACTTTAAACGGAAAAGATCGCGTTTCATCAACAGCCTATCCTAGTCCACTGCTGGACATAGGCCCCTCCAATTGCACGCCACTCATATCGATTTTGGGCTCGTCACTTAATCGTGCCTGAGACGTCCTACACTACGTTTGCCTAGACGCGGTCTCCACTCCAGAACTCGTCTACAACAACGGTTGTCGGTTCTTCGGCAAATATGGCCAGCCCACTGCCACTTCAACTTGCTAATCCGGTGGGCTATGTCGATTACCCTGGTTCTCTGTCGGATTACCTCATTTCTGATGCGATTCTTCAGAGAAACGCCGAGCATAGCCCTTTCCATAGCGCGCTGAGTGACTTTGAACTTGTAGACCAGCCGTACCGTCAGTGTCCACTTCTCGGCTCCGTATGTCATCACAGGTAGGACGCACTGATTGAAGACTTTTGTCTTTAGGCACTGTGGGATCGACGATGTCAGGATTTGACGTAGCTTCCCAAACGCTGCCCAACCTAGCTGAATTCTTTCTTCTATTCACCTCGTCCTCAAAGTTGTTTCTATCTAATTGCAATGACTCCGCGAGGTATACATATTTTTGAACAACTTCGAGAACGGCACCGTGTATTGCAATCGGTTCCAGTAGAACATGTTCATTAAACATGACCTTGGTTTTATCCAAGTTCATCCGTAGGCCGATGCGTATAGAAGAGTCAGCCAGGTCATTCAGCATTTTTTCCAGTTCAGCGTCTTAAACATATCCTCCATTGCATTAGTGAACAATTTCGGGGAAATAACGTCATCTTTTTTATTACCTACTTTACAATTTGAAAAAAAAGGCTTATTCTTTCATGAAAATATCGGTTACTAATTAACTATTAAATACCAACTTAATGATATTTAATACAATTTTAAATGAGGGAAATGTTTATTTTTCGACGTAAATATAATGTAGTGAATGTAAATGTAGGCGTGCAAGAGTGAATTATTTGCACTTCATTCATTCATATCAAGGATTCCTAAAGAAGTACTCGTTACAAAGACGGGAATGCCCCAACGTATTGGACGCGTTTAGCAAAGTTAAAAGAATATAATAGTACTGCGTAAAATTTCTAGATGGCTGTAGTGTTTTGCTCTTGATGAAATTATGTAGGTACGAAGCACATTTTTAAAGTCTAGTTTAGGATTTGATCAGGGTAACGCGGAGGCATTTGGGGCCCCCCAAGACAGGAGGCCCGGGGCGGGCCGCCCCTTCCGCCCCCCTGTTAGTCCGCCACTGGGTAGGGGAGCCCTAGCGGAGTTTTTGGATTTACCCTAGCGTGGCAGAATAACATAAGGGCAATCTTGTACCTTGTGAAGTTAACCTACCATACCTGATTCCTCTATGTAGTGCCGCAAGTCTAGGACGACAAAAAAAAATAACAAATGGCAACGACGCGCGCCAAATCTTCGCGCTTAATCTTTTGGTCGCGTTCAAATCGTCAGTGTTTTTAATAAGAGCTACTGGAGGATTCACGTAATATCCTTTCTAAATGTCTGACGCGCTCGATTTTTTAACCATTGGTACGGAGTGGTCGTCACATCATGTAAACCAGCAAATCAAAAAGTAGTTACCTAGTAGCAAATTATCCGGCGAGGTGAGAATGGTTGGTGTGGCAGTTTATAACTCCTGTACCGGCTATCTTCGCGTTTGGATTTATCACCATTTAATATCATGTGGAATAGAGTCATTTTCCTACTTGGCTATAAAAAAAACCTTAGCAAAAGTTTAAGTGGATTCAAATTCAAAGATAGCTGATGTGACGTGGTAGAGTAGTATGCTGCTAAACCCATCCTTACCTTGCCGACCATTTTTATTTTGTTTGGGGTGTGAAAATACATTTACACACTGAAGTGGGGGTATGTGGGACTCCACGGGGCATACGTCACGCCGCGCCGCGACTACCCACTAACCACCTCCTGCGGTTCCATCTTCACACGATGGGGGAAGGGTATCAGCGCACCTTTGCCCCGGACCCCAACCATGAAAGCGTCCTCTCGGACCCTCCTCTTTGCACTATTTCCCTTGTGTGCGTTGGCACGAACCGCGGGCGGTCTGGACTCGACTCAAATTGAGGAATCCGTCCGTATCTCTCTGGGGGCATCATCAGGCAAACTGGCCTGGATAATATGCCCTAACTCGATGGGAAGCCATTTATAATGCGCGGCCAGTTATTCTCTCCCGCGGGGCCACCGTGTCTTTGCGGCGTCCCATGCATCCTTGTCGCCAACGATGGCCCTTACCACCGACGGCAGCGACAAATCGCCTCCAGCTGCCCTCATCAACACCGCTCTTTGTTCACTCCAGGCGGGGCACTTAGCCAGAGTGTGCTGAGCTGAGTCGACCTCTAAGCCTAATCAATAAATCATAATATCACGAAAATTATTATTATCGTATTGTAATTTTAAGCATTTCTTTTCATTTTTTATTTTCATAAATCTCAAACTTAATGAATCATTCTCACGAAGTATCTTGTTTCTTATTAGTATTTAT